TTTTTTTTTCTATTCGTTTTTTAAGTATTGTGTTCTTTATGTTTTGTGGAGAAATAAATATCTTTATATTTTATTATATTTATTTATTTTTTTCAAACACCTTAGCCACTCATATTTCCAATTTCTGCATATTTAAAAGATACTCCTGCAGCTTCTGCTTGAAAGTTATTTTTTTTAATAGTAATAACGCACACACTCAACATAGCCCCGCACTAGGGAAACCCTGTGTCGCGGGTGCCATGGACACACACATAGACAACCACAAATTACACCCAAACTCACGAAAGAAATAAATGTAGGTCATACAAATATTTCTCCCGGCCCGGGAATCGAACCTGAGACCTCTGCGTGGCAGTCCGGCATGGTAACCGTTCGACCACGGAGGCAGTTTTTGTGACGCTGTTACGGATAGGAGGAGTAATATTGTTCCAACATCGAGACCTTTACCTTTCGAAACCGGAACACAGTAACGCTCACACTAATGTTTGGGAGCAGAAATAGGTGGTAGTACTTCCCTAGATTAACTTTTTCGTAAAGAGCTCTAATGCTGCGAAAATGACTATGAATGAATGCCATCACTGCCACCACTGCCACCACTGCCACTCCACTGACACACTATGCAAAATAATCTCAGAGGAGTCTCAATGGAATTAAAGTGAGCAGTGGTTATAAACAAAAGGGTCTAGGACTATGCCTTGTGTCACGCTATACAAATAAGTCTATGTTACTAGTACTGAACTACGTTTATGATTATTTTCTCTTTACTATAATTGAAAAGTTGCAATCTGTTTTCTCCTTATAGCTACAAAAAAAAAGATGTAAATGAACGTGTAATTTATAACTGCTTTATCATTACGATAAATTGTTAGCTCATTTGCTTGTCATTGGTTTAGAACAACATCAATTACAAATCAATTTTAAACTTTGCTATCGGATTTCTCGAAAAAATTTAACGCAAACAATTTTTTGTTGTCATTAGCTTCTATGTTTAACACTTGAAAGTTCGACTATTTGCATGTAAATTATTTAAATACATCATGCAAACAAAAAGTGCGCCTGGTGGTAAGCGACACGCCTGTCCAAGACAATTGCAGTACCACTAAGAACCATATACACGGCGTATATTATAATCTCTGATGATAAGAGATAGTTTTTCTTGCAATGTAGCAACTACATGAAACGCTAAGTGTAGACTCCAGTGGAGTACATAAGCTTCTTATTTGAATCGATACACTATAGTGCGTCTGCGGTGCGTGTACGCGCAAATGACGGCTTGTTTTAAAATACACGTAGGCTCTTAGAGCTTTAAATCGCAAAGATTTGAAGGGCACTGCCACTGCGCCCGTCACCCTGAAACATAAGTTGAAAAGTCCCATGTGCCTGTAATTACACCAGCGCAGTAATGCTTACAAAACCGCTTGGTGGCAGAAATAGGTAGGGTCTTAGTACTTCCTTGGACAAACTTTTTCACTACTAGCTCTCCTGCTACCAAGTTCTGAAACAACGTTTTCTTTCCAGACGTCGCAGATCCCGATCACGGTCATCTTCCCGTCATCACAACGGAATCGAAGACGAGTGCCCTTCCCCGCGCACCATCCTGATGTCTGACCAGGAGGCTCTACATCAGCTGTACGGAGAAATCACCACAGTGAGAGACGGTGCCGTCACGCATCAGTGTGTGCAGACTAATTTGGCTGACGTCATTTGCGGAGGTAAGTGAAGTTGCTTCACCAAAAGCACCGTCACTTTTTATTAGCAAAAAAAAATTATGCAACTTCCCATTTACAATCCATGTTATTATAACGTATTGTAACTTGAACTTACCACATAAGTATTCAAAATTTGAATTCAGAGTATCTGCAATTTATGCAGTTTGATTCATCTTCTTATCTATAAAAATCTTGACCTCCATCTCACCTGATGGAACGTTTCGATGACATCGTCTATGGAGCATGCATCACACATAAATAATGTCTATTCACTCTCGCCTTGAAAAGGCCTAAGTTATATCGTTGTGGGAATTCCTTAAAAATGTGGAAAAATCTATAAATTAATATTTGTTTGTAGTGTAACAAATATTAATTTATAGATTTTTTCCATTATTATTCATCCGATTCCGTTTAAAAATTTTGTGAGCTGTTATCGCCACACCCACGACAGTATTAGAACCATCTTAAAATGTCAGATGGACTAGTATTTCAACAAACGTGCCTACAGCCGAAATAGCGGTCTGGTGAAGCTATTAATTAATAATAATAATAATAATGAGATGTCTTCCGGCATAAATGCAGAAAGCGGCATTGCTCGATACGGTACGTATCATTCTCCGGTTCTTGTACCTGAGTGTCTGTTTGCAGACTCATTACATATAAAATTTAATTATTTCCACAATTTGCAGAAATTTAATTGCAGAAAAAAATTTAGAAAAATTGAAATTGTAAAAAATTTCAACTAATATAGAATGCCAACAAAGTAATCAACACACTCAGAAAGATTCCACCCTCCTCTCTGAAATAAACTTCACACATGACTCAGAGCTGTTTCACATGTCCGATCCCAAAGTGTATTTTCAAAGTTCTTTCTTTCAAGTGACAAAGAACACCAATTATAACGACAGTGGCGCTTTTGGAATCCATCCAACAGTCTCAACTTGCAGAGCTGAATTGTCTTGTTACATTAAAATGGATTTGAAGTGAAATGAGAATAAAAGAAAGAAAACAGTTTGGAAAATAATAACTAGCTACAAAATATATCTTTTCTTTAATGTGACAAATCTGAATAACCTAATTATCGAGTTTTTGTTTTTAATGATTATGATATTTCTTACTTGGAGCTTATTTAGATCATAGACATCAAAGAAAATAATACATTAGGTATCTACTTTCAAAAAAGGGGTCATCAAGTTTGCATCAAAACTGAATCTGACGTACCACTAATTTTGGTGGATAAACACTTTATTCACTAGTGTGACACAAATACAGATTGCATCAGCACATGCCTAAGTTCAGTAAGGCGCTGGTTTTCAGTCAGAACCAACGAGACGTACTAAATCTAGAAGTTATTTGTAATAATGTAATGTATGTAAAACGGCCCTATACAAAAATAGCGTTGTTGATATGGCACCCAAAATATTTAATAAAATTCCAGACGCAATGAAAAATCTTAGTGAAATGCAATTCAAGCATGTATTAAAACAATTATTAATTGACAAGTGTTACTATAGCATAGAAGAATGTTTTAATGACAGTTTCTTAGAATAGGTAAATGCTGACAGTTGGGTACCATTTAGTTATTAATATTTTTAGACTTTTTAATTATTATTAGTTTTTTGACATTGTATCCATTTTTCTTTTATTATTGTTTTGACATTACATTTTTATTTAATTGACTTCGTATGCCACTTTGGTTTATTGCAGAGATTCCATAAAATTATTATTACCATCTATATCATGTACCTGTAATAACGAATGAATAAATTAATTGAATTGAATTGAATTGAATGAAAGATCCAATAAACGAATAGAAATAAAATAAAAAGTGTAATAAAGTGTGAATAGTGCATCTAAAGTACCTATTCAATATGTAAGTGCATGTGCGGATTGGAATAAACATATAAGTGTAACTGTAAGTGAAAAAAAATGTATGTTTAGTAATTATGTACTTTGGGATCAAGTATTTACTCTGATGAAAAATTTCAAGCAGACATAAGACTGCATTACTGATTAATATGTTTTAAATTGTTCTAATTACCATTAACAACAAAATTTAATAAAATTTATATTGTTAAAATAAAATAATTTGTAAAACATACCTAACGTAAATTGGAATGTCCTTTGAAATCTTAAAAACTAAGGTATTTAATTAATTACTTTTGTACAACAAATAGAGAAAAATATGGTGGTTTGCATTAATATTAGACATAACTTGTTGATAACGTTACCAACTCAGTCACCTGTCGTGACCTGGAAAGCGTTTGAAAAAACAAATATATACGCGATTTAGTGTCAATTTCTATGAATCTGGTGAATTCAATATTGAAATAAATATATATAACCTAACCTCCGGTTAAAAAAACCGACCTCAAAAGTCATTCATCCCCTAGTTTGCCACCCTTATCAAAATTGGTTCACAAATGACGGAGTTATCGCGTAACATACATACAAAAAAAATAAAGATACAGACGAATTGAGAACCTCCTCCTTTTTTTGAAGTCGGTTAAAAACTAGGTCATTTTCTCATCTTAACAATCTAGGTGGCCCAACGGATTACATTGTGGGCGCTGGATGAGGATCAGAAATGATTTTTTTTTATATTGGTTTCGATCTGGGTATTCTGGTACCCGTATCCCAGGACATTTGCACACCTTTGACATTTATAGTACAGGGAATTTCCTACTATAAGATTTGATAATTAGTGTGGTTATTTGACACATCATCGTCTTTCTTGTAACATGCCTTAGTATATAAAAAAAACTACCTCAGAAGGTAGAATAAATAAATAAGAGAGCTCTATATAAAGTGGAAAGCACTTGATTATGATGAAGAGCGAATGTGGTCGCGGAAACAAAAGCAAGACGTGAATCTAGGACAGTGCAAACTGCAGTGGCCTGATTCCGCGACGCAGTCCACTACCACAGTTTCCACGAAAATGAAACTTAAGCTATTTAGTTGCGTTATTAATTTCGAGCATATAACAGATTCTCTTTCCTTATTTTCTGGTATTTTCTCCTAACTAATATTTTTAAATTTAGTAGCACTAGAGCTCCTCGTGAAAAAGTACGTCTAGGGAAGAACCTTACCTATTTCTGCCGCCAAGCAGTAATGTGAGAATTACTGCGTTCCGATAACGGTGATTGTGATTTTACAGGTCCATGGGACTTGTCAATTTATGTTTTAGGGTGATGGGTGCAGTGGCAGTGCCCTTCAGATTTTTGCGGTTTAAAGCTCTGAGTGACACTGCAACTGCTATGGACAGGAATGTCGCTTACCAGTAGGTGCACTCACTTGTTCACATTTTATTGCTTGTCGAAAATATGTCTACATCACGCACAGTGTTACCTTGTTTCCATCACTTAGAGCGTTTGCGCATTTCCGAGAAATGATCCGAAATGTCACAGTGCAGATGCGGACGCAGTTCGCAAACGCGCTTAAGGATTGTTTTAAAATACTTGATACCTCTGCCTTTTACGACATTTTAGAATTGTCATAAAAACATTACCACGTTCCAAAAATCAAAGAAAGCAGATGAAGATTTATTTAAAAAACGATAGTGTTGGTCATAGGAAATTAATTGTTTCTTTGAATGATGTAGTGATCTGCGTCCTGATTTTGATTCAAATAAGAATCGATCCTATCGGGTAGTCTCAAAATCAGATGGGTTTCTGAGCGAGAAGATGAACCTGATCCCTACTATATCTTTCTAATTTCCGAGTTAAATCAACTATTGTCCAAATTAGAAATGTCTAAAGTTTCCGATCGGCCAGTTGTGAATCGCAGTTATTCGCCTCGACTCGGAAAAGACGCAGTTTCCGATCGGGAGAGGCAATCAAAATCGAGCTGCTGAAACTCTGAAGTTATGTATGTATAAAGCAACGTTCGTACGTCGTCATCGACCCACAGTGAACGTGACTAAACCAAATTAAGAAAAATGCGGTAGCAACGGATTGATACGACGAATGCATTCAATTTTCCCTCGACGTTGAAACAAAAACATCAAAAACGAATCTAGGCCAGTGCGAACTGCAGTGCCCTCAATTCTTGCCACAGTTCTGCTTAAGCTCCTTAAATTAGACTTTCAAGTATTCCATAGAAATACAAATTCTTCTGCATAATCAAGACTACTTGGAACAATAGAATGGAAAGTAATAATTTTTCATATGAATTCATTTGCAGTTGAGTGCTATGCGGTATTGAGTAAAATCAATTAGATCAACAATTTAAATTTTGATCATTGACTTACAAATAAATGGACGACGGGTCTAATACAAAAACCACGAAAAAAATGTCCCAAGTCAACCTATTTAAACGTATTGACATGTAAAGGAATATGAAAAAGCTAAAACGTTGAATTTAAATTGTAATGTCATCGCAGAACTGTCTAATTTTGCTTGCTTCGCCGTCAGTCGAACAAACCAAGACTAAAGCGTGAATGACGCTCTGCATACGATTTTAACGCCCTATAAGTTCGGACACTTTTTAGCGCGGACCCGACGTCCATATAATTGTAAGTCAATGATTTTGATAATTTTTTTTACAATGTGAAGTGACGGGACGACCAAGTCATGCGCCTGATGGTAAACTACATGCCTGTCCGTAACTGTTGCAGTGCCACTCAGAGCTTCAAACCATAAAGATTTGAGGGGCACTGCCACTGCGCCCGTCACCCTGCGACATAAGTTAACAAGTCCCATGTGCCTGTAATTTCACCAGCACCCTTACCCTTCAAAACCAGAACTCAATATAACTTAAAGCTTGGCGGCAGAAATAGGTAAGGTGGCAGTATTTCCCTGGACGAACTCTTACACAAGGAGCTCTACTGCTACTAAACTACTGGTAGTGAACATTAGTCCGAGAATGACCTTTTTACGTTCCTTTTACTTAATATATACATTATATTTTCTTTATCCATGAGTATTACTTAACCTCACGTGTTTTGCTGAAAATCATGCGAATCTCTATCATTTTATTGACCGTGAAAGTTAACTTGACAAAGT